ATAGAAATACAAAAAGTTATATAAATAAATAAAATTTTATATAGAGGGTGCGTAAAAAGATCCTTGCCCAACTCCTTTTTGCATAAAAATTTAATCGAATGGAATTTCATCAAATAAATTTACAAATACAATCAAAAGAATGTGTGTTACTAGAAAATTATAAAAGATTTTCAATGTTGTATTTAGTAGAGTTGGACAAGACGAGACCGATACCGAGACCGATAACGAGATTCTCGGCTTTTTTCCAATATCGGTCTCGGTTTTTTCATTCTCGGTCCCGAAACCGATACCGATATTCTCGGTCCATTTCTCGGCGAGAAACTTTACTGACTCAAAGAAACAAAATCCTCAATATTGTCCAAGATTTCGTCCATAATTTTTTTCGGATATGCGTCCATAACAGAAAAAGTGCTTTGTTTTTGAATAAGGTCTTATAAAATTCAAAAATTTTCGCCTGCGGCGCTGAAAATTGGAAGAAATATGTTGACTTGCATTTCTAGTGTGATTTTAACAATAAAAGAGCTATTTCTTCTGCTTTAAACACTCCATAAGCTTAATCTGAAAAGATATTTATTTATGTCGCAAAAAGCGACATGATTCACTTTTTTATTATTTTTTAAAAAATATTTTTTTGTACTTTCTCTTGACTCATTGAATATTTATTTAATTCTTTTTTTCTCCATCACGCCCACTTTAGTTAATATATAAACCATGAGCTATTTCTTAAAAATCAGATTTTTTTCAATCTCCTTTGTTATTTCTACTAGCGAAGGTGCTCGCCCTTCGGGCGAACTCCTCCGCTAGCCTAAGTCTAAATCATAACAAAACTTAAAAGTCAAATCAAATCATTTCAAGAGATTCTTTTCCGTTGCCGAAAACTAATTCGTTCAGTTTTCAAGTTAATACGATCAACTATTAACTTTTCGACCAGAAGCTTTTAATTAATAGGTGTCGAGACCTATCAATTATTATCTATCAACTTTTAACATCAATTATTAACTATTAACTAACAACTTTTAGTTGAAAGTTTTTTGAGTAACTATCAATTATTAACTATCAACTCTTAGTTGATAGATGTTCGAGTACTTATCAATCATTAACTATTAATAATTAACTATCAACTTTAAATTGATAGGTGTAGTAACAAACCCCCTATTCACATTTCCCAATGCCGGTATATTTTGAAACTTCTTACACTTGAAACATTTTACATTTACTTTTTATATAACAAAACAACAATTTACTTTAAAATTAACAACAAAAAGAAAATCACTTTCAAGAGTGCTAAAGAGATCATATCACAAAATTCAGTCATTTCTTCTGACTTTTAATGTCCACTTCAACAGTCTCAAATTCTTCACTTTTACGTTTTACTGGAGTCTTGAGTGGTTTGTCAAATGGGCACAAAACAAAGTCTGTATTAATGCAGATGTCCTGAACGGAAGCATGCAGTTCCAAACACTCATCTTAAAAAAAATATATTATTCCTTAAAACCGTTAAAAACCGTTAATATTGACAAAACACTTGCTAAGAACAACTTGGTTATATTCTTTTCCATTTCCAATTTTCTCAGCTAAAGCTTCTCCAGAAACATATAAATCACACCTATGGCCCTTTAAATCGCCAACGATGGCACAAACTTTAGTCTTGTCGTAAGGCATAAAAACAGTAGTTAAAACGCATTTGACTTCTAAAACGCATTTAATATTAATAAATAAAGATTATTAACTAACTATAAAATTCCCCTATCTTCATTTCAGTAAAACTGTCGACGCTTTTTGCAACACTTTCCACCAAATAATATTTAGAATTAGGCTGCACAATTAATTCAAAGTCGAATGGCGTAGAAAAATACGTCTTCCCATCAAACCGGCTGACATCAAAACGCTGGGCTCTTAGCATCAAAAAGGATACAACCTATAAAATAAACATAGAATATCAAATAATCTGATAACCTACAGATCCCAAAGTACAAATCTTTCCAAAACAACCATCTACTGATTTCTTAAAACCGGTTACTGCAAAAATTGCTCCATTCGAACAGGCACATAACAACGTAATTTTCTTAGCACTGTCCATGACCTTCATTATCTGTCCACAGCAATTACTAAATACATATTCATTAAAACAAGTTCAAAAATAAAAACGTACGCCATTTTCGATCCACATGGAATGGAACTCAACATTTCCTCTGAACTAAGCTCTTGTAATTTGACAGACTCGGCCATTTCACAGCAAAGTTTTCAAAAAACTAAATCATTAAACCAACTTTTACTTAATAGTTAATAGTAAAAGAACTTTTTTACTATATATTACAACTTTTAGTTGATAGTAAAAGAACTTTTTTACTACATATACTACAACTTTTACTTAATAGTTAATAGTAAAAGAACTTTTTTACTATATATATTACAACTTTTAGTTAATAGTTAACAGTAAAAGAACTTTTTTACTACATATACTACAACTTTTACTTAATAGTTAATAGTAAAGAACTTTTTTACTATATATATTACAACTTTTAGTTAATAGTTAATAGTAAAAGAACTTTTTTACTATATATACTACAACTGAGCTATTAACTATTAATATCAATTTCAACATTAGCTAAGGTTTTCAACTTTCAATATTCAACTATTATCCATGGTTTTCAACTTTCAATTTTCAACTAATAACTATGCTTTAAAATTAACTCTCAACTATCATCAACTATGATTAACTATTCTGAACAACTGTGATTAACTTTTAACTATGATTCAACTACTTAGTATCTCACTGTATCAAAGTATCTAGGACTATCAACTACTTAGTATCTCACTGTGTCAAACTATCTAGGACTATAAATATTTAGTATCGCATTGTCAAACACAAAAACCTAACAATAATTATGTTAAAAACATACCTCACAAAAATTAACCACCGGTTGGACACTCTTTGTTTAAATTAAATAGCAGCACTAACGTTGTTTGAATAAATGATCGTTTTGGTTTTGAACGTAAAAACAATTTCTAAATAAAACAAATTTAAAAAAACAATAAAAAACAAAACAAAAAACACATCTTAAATATAATTAACAAACAAAAAAATTAAAAAAAATTCCAAAAACAAATCAAATTCTAAAAAATTCACATTTTTCTTTATTTCCCTACATACACACTATTTTTCTTACTTAAAACAACTTTTAAGAAACAAAACAAAAAAACAATCAAAAAACATCTTAAATACAATTATCAAACAAAAAAAAATAAAAAAAATACAAATCTAATTCTAAAAAATTCACATTCTTTCTTTACTTCTCTAAACACATACTATTTTCAATTTTGGGATATTTTGTCATTTTTAATTAAAAAAATAAACACAACGCCAAAAGTCTCGCAAAATTCAAAGCTGCGGACAAACAAACAGACAAACAACAATTCTCAAATTTAATATAGGATTGTAAAGAAATAAAAAGTATTTGTTCTTTGTTTGTGAATTTGAAAAGTGGAAAAATTTAGTTTAAATTTTAATTTAAACTTTTTTCATTTTGTTGAGTTTCTCAACAATTTAATTCTGCATAGAATTTAAAAAAAATTGTTATTTTAAAGACTTAAATAATATTTTTTTAACTTTAAATAGAAAAATATTGTTGCAGAACTGTATATTTGAATTATATAAATCCTAATATTTGGAAATTTTTTTATATTTACATTTTATCGGAATCCTCCTAATCTATACTACACAATAATCGTCAGCAAATCGTATATTTAAAGCTGTAAGCTCGCAGGTTTGATTCAGTCTCAATTCATATTAACCCACTTTACTCTCAAGGTCAAAATAGGAAAAAAAATAAATTTACTAATTTAAAATAAAATCAAAGTTTAAAAACAATTATTTTTGAAAAGAAAATTTTTTAGTATAATTACCACTTCCTTATTCGAACCTAACACCATAAAGTTATGGAAGTGAGAAATACAAAAAGTTATATAAATAAATAAAATTTTATATAGAGGGTGCGTAAAAAGATCCTTGCCCACACCCTTTTTTGCATAAAAATTAAATCAAATCGAATTTTATCAAATAAATTTACAAATTCAATCAAAAGAATTTGTTTACTAGAAAATAATAAAAGATTTTCAATGTTGTATTTAGACACCTAAATTCCGAGTTACATGATTTTTCTAGTATATGTGTGCTTATAATATACAAAATGATTATACATAAATACAAAAATGTTAACACCAGATCTGGCATATTTTCAAGCATATTTCGGGATTTTTAGTTACGTATGCACAAAAACTTCATTCCTCAAGATTATGTTCAATCAAATTTTTAGTTGAATTCTACTCAAGTAATTTTAATTGATTGCTTTCTCTTTGTTAGCTGCCGGATTATATTTTGTTATTATTTTAAAATTTTTACGGTCATGTTTTGAAAATTTTTTTCCTTTATTATTTGGCGTGAATTGAATATTTAATTTTTTAAAAAATTCAATAATTTCTGTATAGTGTTTATATTTCTTTCGAATTTCTGGCTGTTCGCAAACTCCACGAGCTTTTAATATTGAATCAAAAGAAAGCTTTTTCAATTCAACTGTTGACAGATATAAGGGCTAAAATTTTTAGATTTTAATAATAAAATTGGAAAAATAAATGAAAATTTGGTCATATAGACGGCTAATCCCTTACGTTTCAGCTTCAATAGTACAAAGAACATCTCATAAAGATTATCTAGGAGATTGTCTAACTTGATCTAAGAGACTAGCTAGATAGATATTTAACCGCCATTATCTAATTTTAACATCGCCATTAAATTATCCTCGTGAAATTAATAGTAAACAAGAATGCGGATATGACTCATGGAATATGCAAAAGGAGATGAGTTGTTTTCCATTGAGCTCAGAGTTGAGTCCTTCGTGTCTTATAGGGAAGAACTCTCGGCATACTTCACTTATTCTGAAGCATACACAACTCTGATTTAACAATTACCTACAACGATGAAATAAGTTATGCTAACCACTTTAATTTAAATATTTAGACAAACTAACATGTAGGTTTTTAATTTCGTCAGGCACTCCTTTTGAGGAATCTTTGAAAATATTATTCTTATGATATTTATTTGTCAATTTCTTGTTCAAAAAGTCGCACATTTTGGTAAATTCCTGATAATTTACCAAATATTCCATTACTGTTGGATATAATATTTTAATTTCTTCTATTTGTTTAATCAATCCTTCCTGGTTTTCATCAGAAAAAATATTATGTTTAAATAAACTATCTAAAAATTCTTCAACGCCTGCTTGCTCTCTCAAATCATTATCCACTTCCTCTAACATTATTTCAGAGGTTGAAGTTTCTCGGGTTATTTCGGAAGTTATAGCTTTCTTGGTATGCGTAGTACATGTAAAAGGCAGTCGGGAATATAAAAACAATAGAATGATTAATTTTGCAAATAAAACCATTTTGTGCTTAAAAATTCCTATAAATTTTAGAGAGATTTAGATATGTAGATCCTCACTATAATATTCATTCAATATATCAAGTTAGGGCTCGTTTTTAATATTTAATTGACTACTCGGGGCCTCATTATAGGATAAAAGCTTTCTTTCCCCAAATGTTTATATAAATTTGAATTGGGATCTCGATAATTCGTTCGCCTCTTGACTGATAGCCGACTTAATATAGAGAGACTGTTATTTGAGGTCAAATCTCTTTAAAACAAATTACTCGGGAATGGAGACCTGGGTTATTGGTTTAGGGAAATCTTCGGATATACGGAACCGGATATGCGAATTAAAATTTTGGATACCCAGACGTTTTTTAATTTTGGATACAAGGTAATGTCAACTTTAATGCTAAAATATTAAGAAAACAGACGGTCTAAAGGTAGATATGCTATTACGATTCTTCTAGCGAGAAAATAAAAAAATTATTAAATTTTGAAAATAAAATATTTAAATAAAAGAATAAAAATTTAAAAATTTTAAATAATTTTTCTATATAATTTAATTTAAAATTTTTTTCTAAATGCCCTTAGAATATTTTAAAGCTTTTATTGACACTAAAATTTAAAGGGATTCTATAATTAAATAGCCAGACAATAAGACTGGCTAAAAGTGCAATCGCGTGTTTCGCCTCGAGGTGAAGGATGTATAGACAACAATGCAAATCACGCTTCAATTAAATAAATTCTAGACAGACAATTAATTTTAATAGACGCTTTAAATAATTTATTTCCTTGTTTAAATAAAATATTAAATATAAATTCCTCTTTTAAATTTTTACTGGAATCGCTATTTTTTAAATTGAAGGCAAAAATTATTGTTTAGTTCAAATTTTCACGAAGTTTCCCTCTTGCAAAATCAGAATTCGGAACAAAAGAGAAATGCCTACATTTTAATTGATGATCAAAATTATGGTGTAGCTAACTTATAAAAAGATTTGGAGGGAGTTCTATTAACGACAAATGTTGATGACTACTTTCCAATGAAAAAGTCCATTTTTACTTTGTAGGATTAGCATTAAAATGTCATTAAAATGATCATTTCCGAAAGAAAAGTAGCTAAGGTGCTTTACCCAGAAACAACGATATTTTTATTTTTTAGAAAATGTTTTTTTAAAAAGAAATTGTTTATAAATTTTTTCATTACAAATTCAACATTGTTTGGTCGTGCTCAATAATTTTGAAAATTTTCTCAAAAATTATCTCACATTTTGTACTATAATTAAAATTGTTTTTTGTATCTAAACGTTAATAATACTCAATGAATTTTAATAATAGCTCTCCTACAAATCCATCAATATCACTTTCAATTCTCCGATATCCATCCAAATTCACCAATCATTGCTAAATAAATCTTTTAAAAAAGACTCGAAAATTTCTCGGTTCCCAACTCGATAAAGTTAGGCCCGAAAAAGACTCGTACCGGCCCGACTTGATATAAACAACTCGAAAAAATGCCTAGACCGTCGGCCCGACTCAAAAACCGGTTTAGGCTACCCAAAACCGTAACCCAAAACAAGGGCCTGAAAACTTCTAATAACTGAAACACCAGGAGTTACGAATAATATTAATTCTAAATTAGATTAAATCATTACAGGCTACTAAATAAACAACAAAACAATTTAAATATTATTTTATATTTTAAATAATTTTAAATTAAATTAATTTTCTTTTTAAATTTTATCAATTTTTGTTATTCAATAAAGTCTAGGAGTCTGGCATTCACGCGATTCCATTCACGAGTCTTCATTCATGCGACCTCCCTCCCTCCCCCCCCTCGGAAATTTGTCAATTTCTCCACCCCATATTCTTACCTTCTCTCTCACTTACATTAAAATCCTTGTCAGACATGAATTCGCTTCTATGAATTTATAAATAAAGTCAAAGCTTCCGACCCAATTCCAGAAAATAAATAAGTTTTGGTGGGATTTTATTCTAGAGCTCAGAGATACGACCCTCCCGACCGGTAACCAATTTTTTATTTCTGTTTATCTGCTAGGCTTGTAGGAATCTTCATTGGCCATAAAATGCAGGCGAATCTCGATAAGACAAAATTGTTGAGAACGATTTAACACGACATACCTTTTTTAATCACGCACTGATATGGATAGTTAAGCATATATGGTACACCAACATAATTAAGATAGAGGGTTTAAATAATTACAAGTTAATTTAAATAATTTTTTAGTTTCAAAGATATTTAGCTTAAATGAACATTGAAAAATTACTATTATTTTTTATTTTATTGTCTGCCGCATTTGGCAGTCGAACTCAACATAAAATTAGCAAAGCTGAAAATCTTGAGAACAAGAAAGGTATCGAAAATCTTATTTTATTTTCCCTTTCCCTTTTTATTTTTATCCCTTTTAGATATAAAAATTAAAAAAGGGCTGTAAAATTCATAGGGCTGTAAAAATTTCCCGACTTAGTTGCGAATTGACATCGGGAGTCGGGTCGGGATCGGCATACCCAAACATCACTAAAATATACACATGATATTTAACAGATTTGGCTGCTCAAAAAAAGGAAAAAGATGAGGAAGGAATAACACTTCACATTTTAAAAAATAAAGGTGAAATTCTAAATAAGAATTTTGAAGAAATACAAAAGCAACTTGGAAAAGTTCAGGAAATGAACAAAGATGTATTTAATCAATTTATTAACCACATAGAATTTTCGAAATTTTTTAAATATTTGAACATCAAAAAAGAAAATAATCCGGAAAATATAAAAAAGATAAAGGTTAAATTCATATTTAAAAATTATGGGGCAATCCATCAAAACTTGCGCTCTCGTAGTCACTTTGCGTCTTGCACTGAAAATAACTTTCCAATGAGCGCGAGATAAAAATTGCCTGCAACTTTTCTTTCCCCTTCACAGTTAAATGGATATTTTGTTTTGTTTACCTATTTTTGTCGCGTTTCTAAACGCGAATTCTAATATTAATATATTAATTTTATAATTAATTTTATTTATAATTACTCATCCTTTCACATTCCACAATTTTTCCCATACAATTGTTATCTAAAACGTTTATCTTTAAAAACTTATCCTTATTTTGTTCCCTTTAAAAGACAGTCATTTTTTCCCATTAATTGTACTCTTTCCTACACTTTTTAATTCTTCCTACACATTTTTCCTAGAATTTTTCCTAATACCCTTTCCTAGTTCATTCTCACTTTTGAGGTGTTTTTCCAGTTTGTGGATTACTCACTTCACCGTTTTCTCTTTCCACTTTGAAGTGTTTTTCCAGTCCTAGGATCACTCACTTCACCCTTTTTCTCCCTTCACTTTGAAAGTGTTTTTCCAGTCTCTGGATTACTCACTTCACCTTTTAATTGTAAAGTTAATTAAAGTAAATAAATATTTTTATTTTGTGTAGACAATTCACCTAGGTCCAATTCCCCCCAGATTAGCGATCCCTGAGCCAATCGCTAAAGCTCAGCCGGTGACTTCGACACCGCTTCCTGACTCCCCCATCTGTTTGCGTCCTGCGGAATTGACACATACGGACTTCCCCCTTTTTTTAATAAATTTTAATTATTTTTCATATATTTCATCATGTCCGCACCCTGCCGTGACCTGCTCACTCTTCTCCAAGAGCAAGGTCTTGAAATTCTTGATAACCAAAAGACTTTCCCCCTTCCACCAGATAATGTAAGCTTATCCCAATTCCACTCCGACACCCGCAAATTGTTGAGCTCTTTAGAATTAGAGCTTGAAGATGTTTCCGAAGCAATTTCCGACATTTCTTACACACATGAAAATTAGATGGCGGTCAGAACAAACATGACCGGAGCGGAACGAACCGCAGATACACCAATTTATGAAAATTTTATCTCTACCGTCCCATATTTAAGTACATTATTCGACTTGAAAAAATACCTGACAAATCTCCGCTCTTCCCGGCAAATCCTACTTTCAGCTCTTCCAGACCTTAATCCACCCACCCAATATCGCTCAGAGCGATATTTAGAATTACCCCATAATAAAAAATTTAAAATTTCGTTAACAGTTAACAGGCTTCAACACTCAGCATCAACCGACACACTCATGGAATGCGACCCGACTCCCACAGTTGGAATTGCTACTACTGAATCCTCAACACCACCATAGAAACTACTCCGACTCACCCACGTGTTCAACCTCCTTCACCACCCGCTGCTGCTCCTAAAACCTGGGTGGTGACCCTGCTGCCGTCGACATCCCGCTGCCGGATGGTCCGCCTCCATTGGCCTCCCTCAAACTACCACAACGCCTCAACATTGCCTCACGAGTACGCATCCTGGAAATTGGCACAATCGAAACCCTGCCCATCCATGACCACACAAAAAAGAATATGCTCCCAAATTGGAAAAGAACAAGAAAGAAAAAAAATAAAATTCAAATTTTTGTTTTCCTAGCCCGGCAGTGTCGCGTTTCTAAACGCGAATTCTAATATTAATATATTAATTTTATAATTAATTTTATTTATAATTACTCATCCTTTCACATTCCACAATTTTTCCCATACAATTGTTATCTAAAACGTTTATCTTTAAAAACTTATCCTTATTTTGTTCCCTTTAAAAGACAGTCATTTTTTCCCATTAATTGTACTCTTTCCTACACTTTTTAATTCTTCCTACACATTTTTCCTAGAATTTTTCCTAATACCCTTTCCTAGTTCATTCTCACTTTTGAGGTGTTTTTCCAGTTTGTGGATTACTCACTTCACCGTTTTCTCTTTCCACTTTGAAGTGTTTTTCCAGTCCTAGGATCACTCACTTCACCCTTTTTCTCCCTTCACTTTGAAAGTGTTTTTCCAGTCTCTGGATTACTCACTTCACCTTTTAATTGTAAAGTTAATTAAAGTAAATAAATATTTTTATTTTGTGTAGACAATTCACCTAGGTCCAATTCCCCCCAGATTAGCGATCCCTGAGCCAATCGCTAAATTTTCTTTTTAACTTGATTTAGCAGCAATAGATTGAATCGAACTTAATCCTTAGAATTCTCCGATAAAAAGTTGCTAGGCTTGGAGAAAACTGTCAGCAAATAAAATATTTCGCAATATTATGAATACGCATTTGTCATTAAAATCATTTAAACAAAAATCTAAAATATTTTTATATGTAAAAATATTTTTAAAGGAATTAAAGACTGTCTTGAATAAGCTGAAAAAATTACAATTCGACACCCTTTTGGAATATCTAGGAATCTGTAAATCGATTCCATCAAACCATATGGCAAAAGCATATTGTATGGATTTTATATCTAAAATGGAAGGATTACACGAAATATTTAGAGCAAAACTTATAAATGTGACTATGGCTAAGGACAATACTGAGGCTGATTCAAAATTGTCAGATGTTGAAAAGGAGAATTTTGATAACATTATTGAAAATACAAAACCACCAAAACAAGAAAATGCTAACTATATTCAGTATATTTATAATGCGCTTAGAAATGCTTCGATTGATCATGTGAACACTTTTGAAAATTTCTGGCAAAAGAAACATAAGGATTGAATTTTTAATTTAACAATTTCTGTTTGCAAAATGATTTGTAAAAACATTCATTAAAGTTTTATTTGTGAAATGTGAGGACCTAAAATACTATCTAAATTCATATTTTATTTTTAAATTGATCAAAATCTGTAAATACCATTTTTAGGCAAAATCAAATTATTTACAATTTTTGTTTTGAAAATTATGTCTTTTAAATTAAAACAAAATATTCATTGAGTTTTATCAATTTATATATTTCTTTGTATAAAGTTCTTTTTATATTTCTTTGGATAATTTAAAAATAGTTCTTCAAAACACTTTCTATTGCAGTTTGGTGTGGTTTTTATATATAAGATTGAAGTAAAAAAATTTATTTAACTTTCGTGCTTAGTAGTTACTAATTAACAATTTTACTAAAAAAAATTTAAAACATAGAATGACAAATTTTCCTCAACAATCGTTTTTGTAATTGCATTCTTCAAATGGATGAAAATTGCTCATTCTTTTTATACATATTTTATTCCCAACACACTAAGCAAATTTTTGTCACCAAATATAAATTTGGTTTACTTTACCTTAACTTCGCTTAAAGTCGCCAATCTTACTAATTACTCTAAGAGTAGCATCGAGATAGTCTATAATTAGATTTTTGAAAATATCATTCAAATCAGCTTAAAGAGTTTATTCGAATGATTTCAAAAAGTCTTCTCACTATCAAACACATAGCCTTCAAATCGACGACTTTCGGTCAAAAATTTTTTTCCAAAACTTTAAGAAAAAGCAGTCAAATAAATTTCTGAAAGATAGAGAATATTTTGGCACCAAAAATTTGCTTAGAGAGTTTGGAATAAAATAAAAAAAGAATTATCAATTTTCATCGATTGAAGAAAGTTATGACAAAAAAAAGTTGCGAAAAATTTGCCGTACCCGGTATATTTTTCTATATTGCATAACTTTTTTGCTTTCTTTAAAATTTTTATCTTGTTTATAAATTTTTTCTTTTATGCGCTTCTTTTTCATATTGATTTGTATTTGACTTCTTTTTTTATATATCTTTCCCGATCGTAACATGTTTTACATAAATATTTTCCAGGTTCTGAATGTTGCAACCATATTTTTGCTTGCTTAATTCCGCAATTATAACAATGACGATCCGACTTAAATAAATTTTTTACACATTAAGAATGAATTTCCATTTTATAATTGCGGAATGGAAAGGGGATGGGCCAAAAATGGAATTAACGGAATATTTATTATAATCGAAAAAATTTTTTATGATAATCCAATTTTTGCAAACTTTTCATGATGTAAAATTTTCAAAACATTGTTTCTGCCTTTTTGAAACTTGAGTGTGGGCAGGAGTAAAATATGGTTGGGAGCGTCTTGTGAGCAAAATATAAATGGGTTTCATGTCTGGGAATGTAGTAAAAATTGATATCTCATATATCTATTACAAAAAAATCCAAGAATTCTGCTGGTTCGGCTTAAATTTGGGAATGAGTTTTTATTCGTTATGAGATTGAGGAATGTGATCTTAATGATATCTAATAATAGCAAACCGTTTTAATCTTGATAAACAAGCTTTTATGTCTATGCATTACATATTTTTGACAATAAGCAAAACAGGCATGACACAAATAGTGTTCTTTGAGATATTTATGCCACCGGGTTTTAATTTGTTTAACACCACAATTGAAGCAATCTCGCTTTTTGTTTACATTAATAACACCTATAAAATTATTGTAAAACGTTATTTACTAGAGTAGTTTTCTGCTTGATATGGCAACAAGGATATCCTTATTATGTCAAATTACATAAAATTTTTATTTACTTATTTTATTGCCAATGTAAATAATTTTGCTTTTTAATTCCTTCGGATATTCTACTTTTTGTTTTTCTAACAATTCAATTTTATATCCAATTAAATTAATTTGTTTCAAATAACTTGTTAAAAGTTTGTCTTTATAAATTTCTATACAGGGTGCGTAAAAAGTTCCCGGAATTAATCAAAATGGATTTTTTTTCTTGTATATCATAATAAAAATAAGTTTACACATACAAAACGTTTATAAGGATCATGTAAATAAATAATCATAACAAATTTTCAAAATGAGATCCGACAGCCGAGATACACGCACCCAAACACAGCCGAAAAATTCCTTCGTTGGTCGCGCACCCCTCTTCTGTTATTGATCCCCAGGAATATTTTAATGCCGTCCTAAGTGGCTCTGTTGACGTGTGTCGTGTGCAGGGGAGTCTCTGCTACAACATAGACCAGACCGAAAATCCATTGGATTGAGGACCGGTGAGTTACAGGGCCAAATATCCTTTCCCCAAAATCCATGAAACAACTTTGCATTGAGGTTAATTGTTGTTTTAGC